TCAGGATCGTCTCCGATTTCCAGGTCAGAGCCTTCATCCTCCTCGTCTCCGATCCCGGCCTCTCTGTCCTCGTCCCCTTCATCCACCGGGAGGGCAGAGTAGTTATCCAGGTCGATTTGGGGAAGAGACTGTTGATTAAAAGAGATTAAAACGTGTACACAATAAATATCTGTTGAAGAGGTAAGCGACTTTAATAAAAAAACAAGACTTTTGAGATGTTTTTAGCGGCATTTACTAAGACTTACGACTGTCTTCTTCTGCTTGGCCTTCTTAAACTTCCTCATCGCCTCTGAGGTGTCGGCTCCCTCGTCTTCACCTGAACACAAAAACATGAATATACGAAACATACCCAGAGATATGTCAGACTGGGAGGGGTAAACAGGTGTGTGTTACACTCACCAGTGGTTGTGTTGCTCTTCCTGAAGGGGAAAGCTTTTCTCAGTCGTCTGCACAGACTGTGAACCTCTGCCTGACCGGTCAGAAACACCAGGATACCACCTGAAGGACAGAAACACGCCATCAGGGTGGTGGTGAGTGTGTGTGAAGGTTTAACTCCAGTAACTTCAGTTTGTCGTGCTTACTTATTGCATAAAATCTATAATTACTGTAAAAATGTAGCATTCACGTTTAGAAAAACTACACTGATAAATATTAAAAGGAACCAGTGTGAGATTGCCGATTGCAACCGACTGAAACCACTTTACTCAACCAGGTGAGAAGGAGAAGGTGATTATACACTAATGAAAACATACTTACAGATATTAGTGTTTCACACTGGACTTTGACTAACAATCTGCATCCTACAACAATATCTTACGACTCAATGATTGATGCAGTGAGCTTTCTTTAATCCAATCAATTTAAAAATATTTTGTTACCCTGTATCCTCTAAAATAAAAGAGTTATAGTTTGTTATTCCTTTATTATTACTGCACTGATCTGTTAATTAAGTTTGAATTCATCTGACAGCTTATTTATATATTAGACTTTGTTAGACCAGGTATGTATGTAAGACTTTAAATTACTACTTATGTGCAGTCAGTTAGATAACTCATGTTCCCAGATGAGGAAACACTGATATCAATTAGTTGAGAAAGAGCAAAACAAAACTGCTTCTGAACATATAACTTCAAACGTTCTTTGACTGATTTGATCTTTGGTTGAACAACAAAAGGTCAATTTAGTTAAATTGTAAAATACATTTTAAAACTAAATATCATAAATGTGTATGTTCACCTGGAGGCAGCATCCTGTGGATCTTGCAGGTTTTGTGGAAAACTTCTCCGGTGTAATCCTCCAGCGGTGTGCGTTTGTTGAAATGTATAGTGACCGGGAACTGGCGAGCGTCTACCTTGATGACGGGCGGAGGTATCCGAAACAGCTTTGTGTTGTCTGTGAAGTCCTCCACTCGCAGAGTAGCTGACATGACCAGCAGCTTCATGGGCATACCTTTCTGCAGAGACGTAAAGAGTGGAAGTAGGGATTAAATAAAAACCACAGTGCAAGATTTTTACACCGAAGAAATGAAACACAGCAGACAAGTTACCTTGTTTCTAAGGGGGACGATACGAGACAACAGTCCGATAAGGATGTCTGTGTACACGCTCCTTTCATGAGCCTCGTCTATGATTATCGCACTGTATCTCTGGAGCAGGAAATCCTATGAGACAAGACAGAGACACACTGAAAACACATTGCAGAAACATCCTGGTAATTACATGCTCATACAGATAACAGGTAGTATGTATTACAGCCAGGTCAACATTCCCACTACTTATATTTATACTGGAAAACTCTACAAACACAAACTCGTGGCAGCTCATTAAAATTGTGACTTTTGAAGCCGACTTTCAGATTGAAGATCCTGCATCTCACCATCTTCATATGAGGTTTTTTGATCTCCTCTGAGTTCCTCCATCAAAAGATTAGAGCAGACTGGGCGTAAAATATAAATATGTCCTCTATTAACTACATGAGCATGGGCTGGGTTTTTTTATGGTTTTATTTCCCCATTATTTATGGATGAGCAACAATGAGAGCACTCATATGAGCCTGTTTTTTTCTTTAGTTTTATCAAATAAAATTCACTTGACAATTAAATGAGACTGAATAGAAAGCAGTGTTGAAAATGACAGCTGTGAGAGAGCTTGGTCCTCTTACATAAACACACTAAACATAAACGTTATTACACATTCAACACTCTCTGTCTGTTCTGCAGTATTTTATTAAATGACTCAACCGAGTAAAAAGAGTAAATACCTTCTGAATCTCCTTCAGCAGAACACCGTCTGTCATGAACTTGATCTTGGTGTCGCTGGTCACGTTCCCTTCATATCGAATCTGGTATGACACCACCCTGAACACCGACGCACAAATATCAGCACATTTCCACCCACAAGCTCGTCACAAAGAGGTTTCAAAAACAAAGGTCTGTGGATTTGATTTAAATATTTATAATATCTACGGTGAGTTACCGTGTGGAGAGGTTCATCTCTTTAGCCACTCTGTGGGACATGCTGACAGCTGCTACTCTTCTGGGCTCTGTGATACCGATTATTCCACTGCCACTGCAGGAAAAAAAAACACAATGAAGAAGAAGAATGTGAGCCATTTTTCGAGGTAAATATCCAGTGAAAGATTTGAGGACAGAACCGTAAAGAGGACAACCTACCAGGCATAGCCGGCTTCATACAGAAACTGAGGCACTTGAGTGGTCTTTCCACTTCCTGTCTCTCCACAAATGACGATACAAGGATTTTCTCGTACAGCCTCCATGATGACCTGCTCCTCCGCCAGCACGGGCAGCTTCAGACGAGCCTCCTACAGACCAGCAGATTGAAATACACTTAAAGCAAGCAAACAAAAAGCGAAACACACCTATGTGAACTTACACAGTGAGAACACACACCTGTATCTCTGGTGATCTGTCAACAGGAACGAAGACCGCCGGCTGCGACGGCTTCTCGTTTTGGATTTTCTCCTGATCTGAAATGTTCTTCTTCTCATTCTGTCCATCTTGCTCTTTTTTGTGTTGTTCTTCCTTCACTTCCTGTTTGTCCTCCTGACAGGATGAGGGAGTTTCCTCACGTTCATTTATCTCTGTGGACTCATTCGCTTCTTTGTCCTCTTCCTCCTCCTCATCAGACGATGTGTCCACATCACTGCTTTCTTCTGCCTTTTGTTCCTCTTCTTCGTCCTCTTCGTCTTTCCATTTCCTTTTTCTGTTCGCTCCACTGACACTGCTGATCTTTGGCCCAGAGTCTCCATCTTTTATTTCATCTAATGACCTGGAAATAAACCCAACAATATTAGACCCCTGACTCCACCTTCTCCGTATCTTCCAATGAGCGGATTATCTTCGTTTATCTGGTGCACTTACTGTTTAGTCTGGTAAAGTTTGTCTCCTGTTCCCAGTTTGGATGTGGTGTACAGCAGCTTCAGTTCAGACTCTGGAAGTTGCACCTCAGCCAGTTTACTCAGGATGTCTGCTCTCTGAGCGGGACAGACAGCGGGACAGACAGCGGGACAGGTGACTGGATTGTGAACTACTCCTTTATATTAAGAACGTCTTGTTGGCAGAGTTACTAAATGTTTCACAATTTATGTCCAGTATATTTGATGATTTAATGAATGACGAGTTAATGTGCATAACTGAGAATAAATTCAGTACTAACACCAAAACAAAACCTTTTTTAATATATTTGTCTCTCTCATTTCCTGTCATTCCTCTACTGTCTGTAACAAAGGTTTAAAATGCGCTGAAGAACAAAAAAAATATATATAAAAAAGCCTTTTTTCCTTTAAAATAAAAAAAAATTAACAACAATTTAATTTAAATCAGGAACTATCTGATCTAAGAATAATCAAATAAGACTTTCTGCACAGTTTTATAGTCCCTAATACAGACACATTACAGTTGGAACTCCTTCATAATTTGTTCCTGTGGATCAACTAAACCACTACTCCAATAATTGTTTCAGCACTACTAAAGACATTATTGAAGATATAATGTAGAAACTGGACCAGATTGTTTGTTTTTCTTCTGAAAGCTACACAACTCTGTCTGAACCTGCAGCATCAAACTGTCTCTCACCTGAGCTTTCTTTTCCTTGCGCTCCAGGACCTTCTGCAGCTCTTTCCTCTGTTTCTTGGTGAGGGGCTTTTTGGTGGAGAAAGGTGCCACTGAGGCTTTCTTCTTCTTGGCTTTATTGGCTGGGAGGACCAAAGCGTTGCTCTCGTCTACACCTTTCAGTCTTCCCCCATCTGATGAAAACAACACATTTAAGTGGCATTATACCAAATAATCTGAGCATCTGATGGATTTAATCCCTGAAATCCTACCTTGCAGTTCCACCACAACATCTGTCTTCTCTTCATCTGCTGGTTGCTGAGGGTCACTCTGCTGTCTCCCCTTCCAGTTGTGTTTCTTCCTTAGTTTTCCCATTTTAAATTGAGGTCTGGAAATTGATACATAAAAAGAAAACACTACCTGATAACGTGTAATGTTGGACACCACGAAAAAAGCTGACAGCAGCTAAACAACCATTAACTTTAGCTCAACCGTTGTTGTTATAAACCGACTAAATCTTTATGAATATAATAAAATACAAACCAGGTCACACGACTGCATTAGAGATTTAAACACTTCACGTTTGAAATTACAGCCTTGCACAAATCTCACGTGTAAACACATGAAGGTCCATCCGGTAAAAACCGTCCGGCGGGGACACGTAGCCCCCAGCAGAAAGGTTCCGCTACAGAGATACACATGAGAATACACATCGTTTTGTTTATGGGTCGTAATTTATGGACATTTTAATTTAAATTTAAAGTAAAATAACTAAATATCAACTTAACATCTTATCACTTGAAATAAACTTCACAAAAATTCCATATACATTTCCATTTAAGCTACATTTCAATTAAAGTTATTTTTAATTTTAACCATAATACATTAATTTCTTTAGAACAAGTATAAAAAAAGACACAATGTGGGCACATTTTAATTACATCTGTAACATTTATTTTGTGTTTAAAGTATCAGAATAAAGTTCCTAAAGAAATATCTAAAACATGACATAAGGGCACAATCATTAACAAATTGCACAATATACAAATGCAAAATGGCAAATCACTACACCTGTAATAAAAGTTAAAATATGAAGCAATTATAAAGACAGATATCACCACACACGATATAAATGCTTTATCAGTAATTGATGAAGTACTTTCATTCAAGTCCACAAATAAAACATTTCAAGGTGCTCAACAGGGGTAAGGTAAACTTTTATAAACACAGAAATTTTTATTTATCAGTTTCAACCTCAAGAAAATAGAAAATTGTAATCTGATGTTTAAGCCACATGTGTTTTGTTTAAGGCTGTGTTGTTAAAATGTCAAACTTTTGATAGAAAACTATAATTTATTCATGTGATCTTTATTATTATATACAACATGTGGCTGGTGAGTAACAAAGAAAAGCAGTACAGAAATGCTACTAATATGTTCATAGTAGTTTACATAGTTTCAATAGTGCAGACTCATTAAATCTATTCTACAGTGGTATACAGTGTTTTATGTTGGTTTATGATGGTCTTTGGACACACAGATGGGTGACAAATTAAAGGAAAAACAGACACAAGCTTCCAGAACAGCTTCAGTGTTGTCCTCAATCTCATTGTAACTGAGCTCTAGTGACGAACATGATGACTCATTATTTTCATACTTATCAGACGCTCCCCTTGTGTCCTGTATGGAAGCATTTTCATTTGTTTTTGTTTCTCCACTCATTTATTCCGGGGTTTCCTTTAATTTGTCACCTGCTTGTGCATAAAAAAACATCTTTAGAATCATCAGCACAAAAGCCTTTGAGAGACATTTTCTCTCCACATAATAAACAGCTCTTTTCCCTCTTTTGTATCTAACAATCACACATCACAGCTCCATCAGGTGCTGCTGTCTTTTAAAGGCGTGTAATCATTCTCCCTCAGACCCTCCCCAGCTGTGAAGCTCTCCTCTGTGGTCCTCCTCGCCTCTTTGGACAGCCTCTGGAACCTCTTCAGGAACACGAGGAGAGCCACCAGCAGAGCCGCCTGCACCAGCACAAACACAAACAGGCACACCTGTGAGGCCAGAGCCAGGTCACAGTACCAGTAGTGGCAGGAGTCCAGGACCTCCTGCTCGGTTAAATACACCACCAGCCGCCCCCTGAGGCCCGGAGGGGAGTTGCAGTTGACCCCCAGGTGTGACTTGAGGGCGGCAGGCTGACGCAGCAGCCAGGCTCGCAGGTAGAGGACGCCGCAGTCACACACCCAGGGGTTACCTTGAAGGGAGACAGAGCGGAGGGAGGTCAGGTCATCCAGGAGCCCATTAGGGAGGCTGGTGAGCTGGTTGTCGTGGAGACGGAGCTCGGTGGTCCCAGTGGGGAAACTGGTGGGCAGCGAGGAGGAGCTGAGAGACCTGCTGCTGCAGTTCACCTGAGTGCCGTGACAGGAGCAAAGGTGGGGGCACGCTGATGACCTTTGACCCCCGAACAGGAAGAGCAGACACAGGAGCAGAAGCCCCTTCATGGTTACCAGTCGCTGGAGAGGAGAGGAGAGGAGGCAGGAAGAGGAGAGGAGAGGGAGGAGGAGAGGAGAGGAGAGGAGAGGAGAGGAGAAGTACATTAATTGTAATTGATTTCATTGGGAGAAGAGACCATATTAAGGTGCATTAGAAACTAATCCCACATTTACTGTCTGGTTCTTGACTGCAAATTAAAGATTTAAGGCCTAAAAAAAGGATTGTTCAGTTGCTGTAAGGAATATTTAAGTTTAACCTCACGTAAAAGCCTCTAATCAAAACTGATGACTGGTATGTAAGTATGAATAAATTATGAATGTAATGATCTCTATTGCACAATTCAGTATTTACCACATAAAAACATTACACATTACACATTAATACGGCATTATGTGTTTATATAACTAACAAATAATACATTTTGTACATTTTACAACATACAGCATGTTTTGGGTTGTTGTTGAGGAAGAGCTCATTTATTTTCAACTAACTTGGAGCTAGGCTGCAACTAATGATTATTTTCATTATGGATTAATCTGCAGTTAGTTTTCTTGAGTGATCATCTGATTGTTTGGTTTCTTAAATTTCTGAAAATAGTGAGAAATAAAAATAAAATTACAGAGAGCCCGAAGTTCCAAATCATTAAAAGTAAAAGCAGCAGATCCTGACATTTTTGAGTCTAGAACCACAAAATGTTTTTTGCATTATCAAAATAATACTGTTGGGTAGTTACATTTATATTTTATATTATTATTTTTATTTTTACAAACTCTTGTTTTGTAAAAAAAAAAAAAAAAAGGAACTAAATAGATAAATAAAGAAGAAGTAGAAAGGGTCATGAAAAAAAAGACTCAAGTAAAGTACAAGCACCTCAGATTTGTACTTAAGTAAACTGAACTTTAGATTTCTAATTTCTGTGATATTTTGAGACAAACTCTGTTTTACTGTCTTTATTTGCTAAAAAGGAAACTACCGAACTAAAAAGTCTCAATAAGGTCTGAAGAGAGTTATTTACCTTCAGCAGTGTCTTCAGGAAAGGACTGTGTTACTTGCAGCCGCTCTGAGAGGCCAAGTGCGTGTGTTTGAGCCAGCTGGCACTCACTGATAAAGACCACTGTCAAATATGAACACACACACACACGTACAGTAAACACAGACCTCTAACAGGACAAGGGAAGTGTACCAGTAACTATTTTAGGGGTTCATTTCCGATGAATTTCGAGGACGTTTTCTGAAACATGTACTTATGTACTAATAAATTGCAAAGTTCTTTCCTAGAAAATTATTAGGAAATTAAAATAATTAAAATAAAGTGTATTTCAAACACTGTTGAGATCCACTTCTGCATCAGAACACACAGTAAAGAAGACAACAAGGCCTGAGTTATAATATACGTATCAGATATATCAGTATGGTTAAAAACCAGCGGTGGTTTACTCAAGTACAGTTTTGAGGTACTTGTACTCGAGTATTTCCATCTTAAAATTTACTCATTCAATTTTACAGTTCAGAAGCAAATATTGCACTCTGTACTCCCTTTCAATGAATAGCACTGGATTCAAATTAATGATACTAAATATAATCAGCAAATAAAGGATGATGTATTATGATGTATTATTAAAATTACCAGCTGTAACAGGGGCCACTGTTGGTATTGTCATCTCGTAGGAGGGTCACTTCAACATTTAAGTACTACAAGAAAGAGACATATTTCCATAACTAACACTACACTTAACAAAAAAATGTGAAGAGCAGTTTTTATACATTTTTATATCCATATATTTATGTTTTTGCCATTTATGCCAAATGAACATTTTCTAAAACAGAATTGTTTTTATTTAATTGTATATGAAGGTAGTTTAAATTGATATGAAACAAAGACAAGAAACAATAAAAATATTGCATGAATGCATCAATAGTTATAATCAAATCATGTAAAATACATCAGTCTGAACTGGACCATTCTGCACAATGAGTACATTTACTTTTGATACTTTAAGTTTATTTTAATGGTAATACTTTTGTACTTTTACATTTTGAATGAATGACTTTTATTTGTCGTTATAAAGAGTTCTGTTACAAGACGTCAGCACATCATCCACCACTGAATATTACAAATGAAACAAACATGTATTAGTGAAAGTCCTCTGACAGAAAATACTGATATAAATCCATCATTCATACTAATGTTAAGCTTGAGTGTCTCCTCTGACTGGCGGGAAGAAGATGATGTGTGCAGTGCAGAGGAAGAATGGCTGCAGGAGATAAACATGAATCAGCAGATAATGTTCCTGCAGCTCCGAGCCCTGCTGCTCAGACTCTGACAGCCGGAAGTGACAGGGGATGTCATGCTGCGTTCACTGGACCTTAACGTTCAGCTTTATAACCTTCAGAGAAACAACGCATACACAGCAAAGTCAGATTGACGAGAAACAAGAGTTTATTTGTCACACTTTTATAAATGGGGCACAGGCTGAACTCACAGCCTTCAGGCAAAATATGTACTGTTGTTCAGCATCAGCCTACACACACACACTCTCAAACAATCTCACATACAGGATACACATCTTCACTGGCAAAATGCAGCAATTCACTTCCAAGGAGAAAAAACAGAAGCACAGACACAGTATCTGCTCCTCATTATTCATCTATTTTTACCATCCCATAGTGGAATCAAAGCATACTGTAGGTCATGATGCATTCAAATACAAGCACAGGGCATCGGCTATAAAGCAGTAAAAATAGGCCCACAGCGTTTAGCGGATATGAGTAATGGCAGCATGCTTGCACATGCACCCTTGTACTGCACCAACCCCCTCATTATGTCGAAGGCTCTCCGTTCACAGTTAGCCACTGGCAATAAGTGCATTTTCAGCTCAGACAGCACATATAAAAAATGCTGGGAGAGGATATTTTGACTTGCCATATGTGAAAAAATTTCACATGAAGGTATTTATGAGGATCCGAGAGCAAATTAAGAAGGGCAAAGTTGGATTTTAACAAAAGTAAGTAAAAAAGGGAGTTTTATGGACGGATACCTGGTGATATTTCATTAAAAACACACACACACACACACACACTCACAAACATATAATAAAAAACAATATCCATGTTCAAATTTAAACATCACCAACAACCTAAATTTCTTTACAAAACATCTTGTAGCACACATGTTCATACCCTGACAAAATATCCAAAAAGTTTAGCATTGCATTTATAAATTAGATACACAGAGTAGTAATTTAAATTACGCATTTATATTATATATGTTAAGACTGTTAAACCACAGCAAGGGGCTCAAAGTGGGCAAACGAATAGTTTCAGAGAAAAAACAAAGACCCTCTGACAGACAACCCTCCAGGCAGACAAACTATACAAAGCACCAAACTGAGGATAAATGTACAGCCAGAGTTGCCACTAACACATGATATCCATGGTCAACGTCTGAAGGTCTCACTGTCGTTCAGGGGAGAAACAGTAGGCGGCGCTGCAGCCCAGCTCTGCTTCGGGGGAGAGACATCACTGGTCTTTATCGTGCATCTGCTGCTGCATCTTATTCAGCATCTCCTGCATCCTCTTCAGCTGCAGACAGAAAGGAACAATTAGGGTTAAACTCTCCACATAAATGAATCCTGAGCTGACGACTTTAAGCCACAGATGGAGCATTTACTGTTATATATGATGTTTTGGGATTAATATCACTGCTGCATTAATGTTTATGTTGAATTTTACTGCTGTAGATGTTTAAAGTTGAGCTCATTTTAACTACTTTATAAGCTGTTGGGTAGTTTAATCATCATGTGTTTGTACTGTCGCTGTCCTGTGAGAGCTATGTACCTTTGTGCATTTCCCAGATAATCCAACAAAGGGTTTAAATAGTTTATTTATCTTAAGAAGTAGGAGATTTTTTTGAATCCATAAAGAAACAATTAAAAAATCCCCAAATCTGGAGACACATGGTTTTCAATAGACAGTAAAGGTATGAAAAATTGTAATCTGTAAAGGAACTAAAGCTGTCAGATAATGTAATGGAGTAAAAATGTGTTCTCTCATTCTCAGTATCCACCAATACACAAAGTTCAGGTATGGGGAAGGAAAAAATGCTATTGGAAAACAGAACAATATTTGCCTCTGAGATGTAGTATGAAGTATAAAGTTTAATTTAAATACTCAAGCAAAGTACCTCAGATTTGTACTTAAGTACAGTATTTGGCTACATTGAACTACTGGTTACAAGTTGGCCCATTAATTAATGTATTACTTTCAAGGTACATAAAATATTCTCTCAGTGGTTTCACAGTTAAGTTTAGTCAGCGATGTCATCTACACCTAGTGACTTTTTAAGGAGTACAGTGATGAAGAAACAAAACCTCATCACATTCAGTATTATTGTCAGTTGTATCAGAGCAAAACACGACCTATGACTCATCTATGATACATTCATGGAGAATAACTCAACTTCTAACAGAAACATTCACTGTTTGGTGAAACAACAAAAGATTGCTTCATACCTCCTCATCTTTCATTTTGATTAGTTTCTCAGTCTCCACATCTGGTGTAGACAGCGGCAGGATGGGAATGGGACTCTCCATACGGTTGTCCTGAGCCAGTTTACTGAGGAGAAGAAGAAAAGAAAAGGAGGAGGAGGAGAGGTGAAGCACGCAAATGTCAGCTGTTATCTGAGATGTTTAAACAACCTTCTCTCTGTGATGTTTTCACATACCTGGTCATTTCCTGTATGCACTGCGCTCTGTAGTTCTCGTAGTGGACGTCGCAGGTCACGTCTTTGAGGTCGTGCATGTGTGACCGAATCAGCATGTTCCTCAGTTTCACAAAGTCACAATGCGACTGGTTCTCCACTGAGACAAAGAAACATGTCAGATTGATCAATAATTCAAGTTATGACATTCAAACTGTGTCACAGATAGATGTTACATGAACATACCTTCAACTATTCCCCAGGGGTACAGTCTCCCTCTCACTCTCTGCCCTCGAGCCTCCACCACCGTGTTACTGCCGATCACAGCGAACGGGGTGCACTCCTGCACACACACACACACATTGTTTCTTTAACCCGTATCTCTCCAGAGAAAGAGACTGAGCACACTGTGTCCTGGTACTTCCTGGTAGAGTTCACACATTCACAAGAGTCCACTGAGCAGCTCAAGAGAAGCGTGACTGTAATTGTTCAGACATGTAAAAAGAAAACTGTCTGTTGTTTATTTTCTCACACAGAACTGCTCCTTCGCTACAAGGGTTAAATTGTCAGTTCACACATATATTAACTCATCTTACTACTCGCTGTTTCTCGAGCTTTCAACCTGCGCATTAAGTCATCGCCTGATCTACGTACGGCAATCCGTCAACAGAGACGTGGTTATAAAGTTGTGTGATGGAAACTGAGCAAACCCGCCTGCTGAGGAAGAAGTAGGTAGACTTTGAGTTAAGATTTTTCTACGCCCGTCTCAAGCCTAAAACATTTCACAGCTACTATGCACCACTCAAAGGCTTGAAAAAAAGGTATATAAATATAAAGGTATATTACTAGTGCAGTGGCACCCAAGCAGTAACAATAGAGCTTTTTCAGAGCAGCCATTTTGACATGAAATAGTAGGGTAAACACACAAATAATACTAGTCAAGGCCCTGTTCCATTTAGTGTAGCAGAACCTTTCCAGTGAGCCAATGTGCACAATAAGTTTGTTCATGATAAACTGTGCCTTGCCTGTGTGTGGACAAGATCAGGCGGCAGCAGCAGGAGGTTGTGACAAAAAACTTCCAGCAGCCTTTAAAGAATAAACAGGAAGTTACAGAAATGTTTGTATCCTGTCACCTTTAGGCTGCCAGTAGTTTTTAGACCACGTTTGGATTTATGAATAAACGTTATCGTTATTATCAACCACTCAAGATCTGTTAACAGAATAAACCTTCATTGTACAACGAGAGACATGAAACAGCTACAATCTACAGTCAAATATTGAATCACACAGAAAATCAGGAGCCAATCAGCTCTTTGATCAGACGTGTCCCATCATGCTCTGGGTCTGGCAGTCCGTGCAGAGCAACTGTGGCGCCGGGCTCTAGAAGCTGCTGCCGGCTCGATCTCCTGAGGTTATCGTTGTCTGTGTCGTCAGAGCAAATCAGCATCAACTC